CACAGCCCTCTGCCCAGCAGTTCAGTCCCTCAGGGAGTTTGGATGTGTCTATGGAGCTTCCATGACCTTTCCTTGTACAATTTGTGCTGGCTTCCCCAGTATAAGAAAGGTTTCTTAATGATTCTCTCTGCTAGTGTCGGTGGCAACCCCGTTTTGATTAATTCTCTTTAGAAATTCAGTCTATGAAATGCTTTTCTCCTGTATATATTTTAAGGAAAACCTTTTTGTGCTGCTCTCAGGATGCCTTTATTTTGTCTTTCATATAATCCATGGCATTTGCAGTATGCAGTTGTGTGTGTCATGGTGAAAAACAATTAGAACCTTATAGATCAAATTCTTTATTCTGCAGAGTCTCTCTTTGTGTATAATTGTTGGAGAATTTAGATATCTTATTGTAGCTAACTGCAGATTGCTCGGGATGCTCACTCTTTAAACATCTGCCCATTCCTAGTTTAGAAGAAGAATGTGAGTCTTCTCTGTGCACATCTGCGTTGAGAGCCAGGAACCTAGAGCTGTCTCAGGATATGAAAAAGATGACAGCTGTGTTCGAGAAGCTCCAAACTTACGTCTCTCTTCTTGCCTTGCCAAGTAAGTATCTGTGTTAGTTATCTCGTGCTGCTGTAACACATATACCACAGGCGGGTGACTTTAACAAACAGAAATTTGTTTTCTCACAGCCTAGGAGGCTAGAAGTCTGAATTCGGGCACTGGCTTTAGAGGAAGACTTTCTCTGTCAGCTCTGGGGGAAGGTCCTTGTCTCTTCAGCTTCTATTCCTTGGCTCTTTGGTGATCTTCATGTGGCTTGGCGTCTCTCTTCCCACTTCTCTGCTCTGCTTGCTTGTTTAGTCTCTTTTATATCTCAAAAGAGATTGACTCAGGATACACCCTACACTAATCCTGCCTCATTAACATATCAAAGACAACCCCTTCCCAAGTGGGATTATAACCACAGGCATAGAGGTTAGGATTTATGACACATATTTTGGGGGGAACATAATTCAATCCATAACAGTATGTTTTGCCTCTCATGGTTCAACTTGAAGGAGTTAGAGTACAAGAAGCTGGAAAAGGAAGCTTGTTTAGCTTGGTAAAATGGGAAGAGCCTAGGATCTCAAGTTAGAAAAACTCAAATTCAAATCCTCCAGCCCCTTACCCATTTATTACCTTGGGCAGATCACTTTACCTCTTTGTACCTTAGTTGCCTCATTGGTAAAATGGAGGTAAATGTTGTGATTTTTAAATTAAATTAAGAATGTAAAATATCTGGCATAGAAGACCACACTAAATATTAATTCCCTTTCTCCCCTTCCTCTTTTAAAATGGAGAAGGCCAATCATAAGAATTTGCATCAGCTCTCCAACAAGTAGCACAGGGAAGCTTTAGAAGTAAAAATAGTATTTTTTTCCCTTTGGCCTAATTTGAGAAAAAATATTTTCAAATAATTGAATGGGCCTCAGTTTAAATGATGCTTTTAAGAATGCCATGGTTTTCCGAGTGCTATGATTTTGTTATATTTTTTAATAGCTTTATTGTGATATAATTTACAAGTCATGTAGTTCACCTATTTAAAGTATACAATTCAGTGGTCTGTCTGTATATATTCACAGATACATGCAACCATCACCACAGTCAATTTTAGAACATTTTCATCACCTCAAAAAGAAATCCCATATCCTTTTGCTATTACACTCATCCCCCCATCTTCCTTAGCCCGTGGCAGCCACTGATATGTTTATAGATTTGCCTGTTCTAGATTTTTCATATAAATCAAATCATATAATATGTGGTCTTTTGTGACTGGCTTCTTTGAATTAACACAGTGTTTTCAAGGTTCACCATGTTGTAGCATGTATCAGAACTTCATTCCTTTTTATGGCTGGATAATATATGGCTGAATAGTATTTCATTATATGGATACACCACATTTTTGTTTATCCATTCATTAGTTGATGGGCATTCAGGTTGTTTCTGCCTTTTGGCTATTATGAATAATGCTGCTATGAACATTCAAGTGTAAGTTTTTGTGTAGACATATGTTCTCATTTTTCTTGGATATATACTTAGGAGTGGAATTCTAGGTCATATGGTAAATTCTTTGTTTAACCATTTGAGTAACTGCCAGACTGTTTTCCAAAGTGGCTGCATTGTTTTACACTTCCAGTAGGGTATGAGGGTTCCAGTTTCTCCACACCCTTGCCAATACTTGTAATTTCTGACTTTTCAGTTATAGCCATCCTAGGGGAAGTGAAGTGGTATCTTATTGTGGTTTTGATTCACATTTCCTTGATGGTTACTGATGTCAAGCATCTTTTCATGTGCTTATCGGCCGTTTATATATCTTCTTTGGAGAAATGTCTATGCAGATCCTTTGCCTGGTTTTTTTAATTGAGTCTTTTGGCTCTTATTACTGAGTTGTAGCAGTTTATGTACTCTAGATACAAGTCCCTTGTCAGATACACAATTTGCAATTTTTTTTTCTCATTCAGTGGGTTGTCTTTTCACTTTCTTGATAGGGTCACTTGAAACAGAAGTTTTTAATTTGGAAGAAGTCTAATTTATCCGTTTTTTCTTTTGTTTCTTGTGTTTTGGATGTCATGTTTAAGAATCCATTGCCAAATCCAAGGTCATGAAAATTGACCTCTGTGTTTTCTTCTAAGAGCATTATAATTTTAGTTCTTACATTTAGGTCTTTGGTCCATTTTGAGTTAATTTTTTTTTTACAGTTATCAAATATGGTTTTTATTCTCTATTTTTGATGACTATAAGTGTTTCCACTGTGGAAAAGAAAGCACAGTATATTTTCATGATTGGGGAATGGATTTTCTGAAATTGTCATCAATAGGACAAAATATTAGAAGAAAGCAATCTGAATGTTGGAGTTCAGACTGCTTTATATAAAGTCCTTTGTAAACAAAGCTTGAGTGGGATTAAAAAAAAAGAAAACAGTAAGAAAAAGGAAAGGGAAAAGAAAGAAGACCGTTTATTGCTTCTCCAGTTTTCTTCGTGGCCTCTTCATCTTCAGACAGCTTGGTCCCAGTTGCCTCCTCACTCTCCTTCATTCAAAAGAGCTCTTAGCTTTTCAGCCACTTTTTCGGCATTATGACTTTGGCCAATCCTTACTTTTCTCCCTCTTCAGTGTCTTTTCTGCACCCTTCAAACTTTGTTTTGAATTTCTGTGCATTTTCAGCGTTTACGAACCCGACGGCAAGCAGCTGTGGCTTGGGGCCCTCGTCGGCGAGGTCGGCGTGGGTGTTCCAGACCCAGGCTCGGTCGCTGCCCACGTTCGGATTTAGCCCCGTCAGTGGTGTGACGTCGTGGTTGGCGCAGAGCGTCAGGGTCTTGCGCCTGCGCAGAAGAAGGCGGGTGCTTTTCCCTCTCTTTCCGCCTCAGGAGCTTCATGTTGCTGGTGCATGGCTCTTTCCTCTCAGGGAGTTCATTTTCTGGGGCAAGAGGGTATAACTTTCTTTTTTTTTGTAAACGGTGTAACATTTTTAAAAAGTTCGTCTTCCTCCAGTGTTTTGATTTCTTGTGCAGGAAGGGAACTTGTTGGTTCAAACTAGGGGTCGTGATTGGACTCGTCTACATTTTCACTGGTGTCCCGGTCCTCATGAGAATCCTTGATGGCTGCCATGGGGACACGGTGGCAGCAGCTTGACTGGCTCGGTCGTTGCTGGCTCCGCGGCCTCTCAGCTGCTATCGGTAGCTTCTTCCCTCCACGTCTCCCTTTTGAGTTCATTTTTGTGTATGTTGTGAGGTAACAGTCCAACTTCATTCTTTTGCTGTGGGTATTTCATAAATACTCTTTATCAGGTTGAGGAAAATTCCCTTCTGTTGCTGGTTGTGTTTTTTTAATCATGAAACAGTGTTGGATTTTGCCAAATGCTTTTTCTGCATCTGTTGAAGTCATCGTGTGTTTTTTTTTTTATTCTGTTGAGACAGCATATTACAACAATAGATTTTCAGTTGTTAAACCAACCTTACATTCCTAGGATAAATCCCACTTTGTCATGGTGTATAAATCTTTTTATGTGTTGCTAGATTCAGTTTGCAAGAATTTTTTGAGGATTCTTCTTCAAAAGAGAGATTTCCTTTGTAAAACTGCTGGTTTGTAGTTTTCTTGTGATGTGTTTGCCTTATTTTGTATTGTGGTAATACTGGCCTCATTGAATGAATTGGGAAGTGTCTCCTCCTATTTTTTTAGTGGGAGAGTTTGTGAAGAATGGTGTTAATTCTTCTTTAAATGTTTGGTAGAATCTGGGCCTGGACTTTTCTTTGTGGGTAGTTTTTTTTTAATATTAGTTCAGTCACTTTACTTGATATAGGTCTTTTCAGGTGTCTGTTTTCTTCTTCAATCAGTTTCCGTAGTTTGTGTGTTTCTAGGAATTTGTTCATGTCATCTCAGTTGTCTTAATTTATTAGCATTCATCTGTTTCACAGTATTCCTTTATAATCCTTTTAATTTCTGTAAGGTTGGTTTATTTCTGTAATTCTGATTATTATTATAATTTCAGTCTTCTCTCTTATTGTTTGATCGGTCTAACTAAAGATTTGTCAATTCTGTTGATTTTTTTTTCAAAAAACTAACTTTGGTTTTGTTGATTTTCTCTATTTTTGTATTCTGTATTTCATTAATTCCTGTTCTAGTCTTTACTATTTCCTTCCTTTGCTTACTTTAGGTTTAATTAGCTCTTCTAACCATGCCCTCCCCCCACAAGGTATTTTTGTAAGCACACTATGGTAACTTTTTTTTATAGCAACATGTAAAAAAAAATTGGTATAGTGGCACTTATAAAAATACCTCGAGGGGGGAGGGCTCAGTTGGCAAACAAATGTAGAAGGTGTGCATTATCTGTGTAAAAATATAGTATTTGTATCTTTGAATCTAGGGTGTGTGTTTTGGAGACAGTGTATAGTTGGATCTTATTTTTTTTGTCCAGTCTGACAGTCTCTGCCTTTTTATTGTATAGTTTTATCCGTTTACATTTAATTTTATTATTTACGTAGTTAGATTTTCAACATGCCATTTTACTTTTCTATATATCCGTATCTTTTTTTGTTACTCTATTCTTCCATTACTGCTTTTTTTCCCCACTAAGTACGTATTTTCTAATGTAGCATTTTGATTCCTTATTGATTTTTCACTATATCTATCTATACACACACACACACACACAGTTATTTACTTAGTGGTTGATGTAGGGATTTAATATACACCTTAAGTAATCAGAATCAGCTTAGACTTATCCTAACTTATTTCCAGTGAGAGATAGAAAAATTACTCCTATATAGCTCAATTCCCTTTTCCCCCTTTTTGTGGTATTGTTTTTACACATATTGCATCTATATATGTTACAAACCCAACAATACATTGTTATAATTATTACTTTATATAATTTTATGTCTTTAAGAAAGTTGAGAGAAGAAAGCAAGTACATATTTATAGCTATTATTATATTAACCTTCTTATTTATCATTTCTGATTCTCTCCATTTGTTCCTGTAGGTTCAGGTTACCATCTGGAGTCCAGTACAGCTTTACTTGTACTAGCCCTTTTTGTGCTGTTATTGGCAAAAATATTGCTTTCTATATATTAGAGGCCCAACAATACATTATATACATATTATTTTACACAGTTGTATCTTAAAAAAGAGAAGAAAGGAAATATGCATTTATACTGTGTTTCATGATTACATAATTACCTTTACTATTGCTCCTTGAAGGAGCCCTAGTGGCTCAGTCATTAAGAGCTTGGCTGCTAACCAGAACATCAGCAGTTCGAATCCACCAGCTGCTCCTTGGAAACCCTATGGGGCAGTTCTACTCTGTCCTATAGGGTCACTATGAGTTGGAATTAACTCCATGACAGCAAGTTTAGTGCTCTTTGTTTTTGTTTTAATGTGAATTTGAATTACTATCTGGGTCTTTACTTTCAGCTTGAAGAACTTCCTTTTGTTTATCTGGGAGTGTCGTTATTTTGCCTTCATTTTTGAAAGATGGCTTTGCTGAATATAGGAATCTTGGTTGACTATTTTTTTTTTTTTATTGAGCACTTTGAATATGTTATCACACTGCCTTCTTGCCCCATTTTTTCTATTGAGAAGATAGTTGTTAATCTTATTGGGATTCTCTTGTTAAGTGTCACATCATTTTTCTCTTGCAGCTTTTCTTATCTTTGACTTTCAGATGTGATATGTGTATTTGTGGATCTCTTTGTGTTAATACTACTTAGAGTTCCTTGAGCTTCCTGGATTCATGTTTTTCAATAAATTTGGGACGTTTTCAGCCATTATTTCTTTGGATGTTTTTTCTGCTTCCTTCTCTCCTTCTTGTACTCCAATTACGCAAATGTTGGTGCATTTAATGGTAGCCCACTTGTTCATTTTTCTTTATTTTTTCTGTCTGTTCTTTAGATTGCATAAGAATAGACATAGATCTGTTTTCAAGTTTGCTAATTCTTTCTTCTGCCCATTCAAATCTTCTGTTGAGTCCCTCCAGAGAATGTTTCATTTCAGTTACTGTACTTTTCAATGTCAGAATTTTCATTTTATTCTTTTAAAATGATTTATATCTCTTTATTGAGCATCTCTAGTTGATGAGACATTGTCATAATATCTTCTTTAAGCATATTTTCCTTTAGCTTTTTAAGCATATTTATAATGGCTACTTGGAAGTCTTGTTAAATCCAGCATCTGCTCACTCTCTCAGCAGTTTCCATTGCTTGCTTTGTTCTGGTATGTGGGTCAGAGTACCTGTTTCTTTGCATGTCTCATAATTTTTTTGTAGGAAACTGTACAACTTAGATAATGTATTGTAACAACTTTAGGTATTGGTTCCCCTGATCTGAGATTTGTCATGGTTATTATTATTTGTTTAATGACTGGCTGGATTATTTTAGTGAAGTCTTTTTCTCCCTCTCTGTCCCCCATGCCTGCTGTGTGAAGCCTCTGATGTTGTTCCTCAGGGGGCACAGGCTTGGGTATGCCCACAATCACCCTGGGATGGCAGTGGTTTCGGCAAGACTCTCTTCGACTGTCTTTTTCTGTGACCACACCCAGCTGTTAAGCTTTATTAATTGCAATTGCTTTTCACCAAAACCTCCTTTTTTTTTGAGCACATTTACACTTAAACTGCTCCATACTTTGTTGCAAATGAAGTCACTTGGTATTGGGGGTCCCCAAGACCACCCTCAGGTTTGATGGTTTGCTAGAAGAACTCACAGAACTCAGAAGAACTGTTATACTCACAGTTACATTTTACTGCAATGAAAGGATGCAGGTAAAAATTTACAAAGGAAAAGGTGCACAGGGCAGAGTCCAGGAAAGACCAGACACAAGCTGGTTGTCCTTTACCAGTGGAGTCACATGGGCAGTGCTTAATTCTTCTAGCAACAATGTATGACAACACATACAAAGTATTGCCATTCAGGGGAGTTCACCTGAGCGTTGGTGTCTGGATTTTTATTGGGGGTCAGTCACATATGCATGGAGCGCCTCCATGACTGTCCTTAGTTACTCAGTTTCTAGTCCCTCCAAAGGTCAGACTGATACAGCATGGCCCAAGGCCCCCACCATAAATCACATTGTTAGCATAAATTATCTGGCATGGCCCAAGGCCCCAGGTATACAAAAATACTCTTACCAGGCAGAATATTCCAAGGGCTCAGAGGTTATCTCCCAGGAATGGTCAAGGGCCAGTCCTTTCTTTGGAATATGCAAGGTTTGAACACTGCAAGCTTGCTGAGGGTTTGTTTTGTTTTGTTTTGCCTTTTTACTGCACACAATTCCTTTGGGATATTTATCCTCTGTTTTTAGGTGTGCTTCTCCCACCTCCTCCCCTACCGCCCTGGGCAAAATGTCTTATCCACAGCTGTGGAGCTGGGGTGGTGACAGTGTTGTGCTTTTCTCAGAGTGACATGCCTGCTTTAGAAGCCGGGCACCCAATAGAGGCAGGGGCAATAGCCTCAGGTCTTCTTAGTCTGTCTCTTCTGGTATGGAACCTTTGTCTCATGAGCTAGGACAAGGGCAGTTGGGGCTCTAGTATCCTCGGTGGCACAGTGCCCAGGGCAGAGCCTGGGCAAGGACGGGAGCCCCACCTCTTGACCACACTTGCCCTGTGTTCTTGGCTGCATCCGTCTAGAGTGGAGTTTCCACCTCACTGAGCTGGAATGAGAAGGTAGGGGGAGGGTAGGTTCAAAGAATGCACTCTGGCTTTTCTTACCTAGTTTTAGGAGTTTTTCTTGAATAAACATTGTTTCATGTTCTCTGTGTCTTTCAGACCATTCCCAGAGACTTTCAGTGCTTGTTTTTCATACTTTCCACTAGTTTTATTGGGGGTGGGTCCGTGGATCTCCTCAAGCTGTTGTGGCAGATGTGGAACTCTGCAGTCTTTTCGTAATAGTACTTTTAGTGCTGTTCAGCAGATATTAATGTGTAAGAAAAGAATAAGATGAGAAATGTGTCATATGTTAACAAAGAGAAAATTTTCAGATTTCCATTCCCAAAAGGATAATGAAAGACATAATCTTGCTTAGCAATTTCATTTTGATGCTTAACCATTAAAAATACTTACCCATTAAAAATACATGTAGGATACACATCAAAGTTAGATGCGTGCATGTGTATCACTATGATATCTGAATGTGTCTGCAAAGATTTTAAAAGCCATCATTTTCAACCTATCGCAAGCAATTTGCATTCTCTCTCTTCTCCCAAATAGCACGAGATAATGGGCTGTCAATTTTTCAGATGACATCTCCTGGGAAAATGTTTACATTTGTGGTTTTGGCTTTCTAGGTACGGAGCCAGATGGACTCCTTCGGACAAACTACAGTTCCGTTTTAACAAACGTCGGTGCCGCTCTGCATGGATTTCATGATGTCATGAAAGGTGAGGCTTGAAAAATCACATAAATAAGCTTAAAACCTTCGTCCCACTTTCTCAGATCTGTTAAATCTGAATGAGATTTAAACAAACACCGCCGAGGCGAATAGACCTCACGTAAAGGCTTAGTAGCATTTGGCTTACGTCAAAGTGCGCAGCTCACTGCCTTCTGCTTTGCCCATCTGCTCCATTTCTGAAGGCAAACGGAGTGCTGAAAAGAAAGCCTTGTGCGCGATACTTTAGCCAAAATACGGTACTTAAGGCAGGTGTGGGGATTTTACCAAACCAGGCGTGTGCTGCAGGGGCATTTGGCAAAGTGCTGTGCACTTGTTGGAGCACAGGCACGAAGGAATTGAGGAAGCCGAGGTTTCAACTCCCCAGAAAGAGTGTGCTCACTTTTCACCATCCTGTGCGTTTTCATGTTCAAAGTGCACGTTTTAACATAGCCTTAAGTCATGAAGGTCGGTTCAGCAACTTCGGTCAGTTTTCAGTTGTTTGTGTGCTCATAATAGTCAGCTGGAGGGCAGAGGGAAAGCTTCTAAAGCATTTCACGCTACTTAGCATGTGATCCTGAGTCACGACTGTTTAATTTATGGGGCTGCATTGCATCTAGGGTTTTTTTCTCTCGCCCTTTCTCGCTCCCTCTTTCTGTCTCTCTCCCTTCCCCTCCCTGCCTCTTTCCCTCTCTTTCTCTGTTCCTCCCTCTGCTTCCCTCCCTCCTTCTTTCTTTCTTTTCTGTTTTTTTCCCCTTTGTTCCATCCTTTCTTTTCCCTTTAGAGATATCTGGGGTTGGGGAAGGAAGAGAGAGAGAGGGAGCAGTTATTAAGGACTATTGGAAATAGCCCCAGGTGCCTACATTATTTATTGTGTTTAATAAAAAATTAGTGACCAGTCACTAATTTCACAGAAAAGAACTTTTAAAATCTTAAAACCATGTTGTTGTAGAGTATGTATAAGATGGATATTTGAGACTCTTTTGTAGATTGATACATAGTCTCTGGCATTGGGAGTCGGTCTTAGCAGTATTACCGAGCACTACCTTACCATTCAGTCTAGAGAATGGACCTTTCTGTGGCTTGTCTTGAGTTATAAGGAACTTTATAAGTTACTGTACTTCTGGAGCTAGCCCAGGTTGCAGGAATCATGGCTTGGATAGGCAGTCTGGGTGGCAGTTGACGATAGTCAGCCCCAGCCCTGCAGAACTGGTCTGGCCTGTGGGAAATCCAAGGGACTGGGGCCTTGTCCCTGTTCACTGTTTGGGGTGGAGAGCTGGGGCTTGGCTGTAGTCCTCCATCCCAGAGTTTGACTTACCCTAGAACTAGGCCATCTAAACCACAAGTAGCTCTGTGGATACGGTTTTGTTTTGTTTTTAAATTTTTTCCTATGGTGATAGTATGATTTGTTCCAGCAGATGGTTTCTTCAGAATTTCTATAGAGGAGATGTCAAAGGGGTGGAAGGTAGCTATCCATTGAAAGGGCAGCTTAAAGCTTCATTTACATAGAAAATATCTTCTTGTTGTTGGGTTTTTTGTTTTGTTTTGGTTGGTATTTTAGTGAATCTATAAATACAGAGTTTTTTAAAGGTGCTTTGTTCATATTTGTTCTTATATTGCATAAGGTTGAGAAGATGTCAGTTGGTTCAAATCAAAGAATGTTACTGTTGGTATTTGGCATGAGCTGATGGAGATTATGGTAGAGTCAGAGGCCCCCAGACTCCTTTTGTGTCTCTACTCCTTTCTGTCCTTGAAGATAAACATCAAGTATTGGGAAACATGAGGGGTGGTTGACAAGCTGACGCAGTGGTTAAGAGCTCGGCTGCTAACCAAAAGGTCGGCAGTTTAAATCCGCCAGCTGTTCCTTGGAAACCCTATGGGGGCAGTTCTACTCTGTCCAGTAGGGTTGCTGTGAGTCAGAATCGACTCGACAGCAACAGGTTTTTTTGTTTTGTTTATATGTATGTATACATAAAAATTCCCTGGTTTTATTCCTGAGGGACCAAATTACTGGGCTGAGGGCTGTGGGGACCATAGTCTCGGGGAACATCTAGCTCAATTGGCATAACATAATCTATAAAGAAAATGTTCTACGTTCTACTTTGGTGAGTAGCATCTGGGGTCTTCGAGTCTTGTGAGCAGCGATCTAAGATACTCCACTGGTCTCACCCCATCTAGAACAAGACAGAATGAAGAAAACCAAAGATACAAGGGAAAGATTAGTCCAAAGGATTAATGGACCACAACTATCACAGCCCGCACCAGACTGAGTCCAGCACAACTAGATGGTGCCCGGCTACCACCACTGTCTGCTCTGACAGCAGTCACAATAGAGGGTTCCGGATAGAGCAGGAGAAAAACATAGAACAAAATTCTGACTCACAGAAATAAAAAGACAAAGACCAGACTTACCGACCTGACAGAGACTGAAGAAACCCCGAGAGTATGGCCACCGGATGCCCTTTTAACTCAGTACTGAAGTCACTTCTGAGGTTCACCCTTCAGCCAAAGATTAGACAGCCCCATAGAACAAAACGAGACTAAATGGACGTACCAGCCCAGTGACAAACACGAGAAGGCAGGAGGGGACAGGAAAGCTGGTACTGGGGAACCCAAGGTCGAGAAGGGGAGAGTGTTGATGTGTCGTGGGGTTGGCAGCCAGTGTCACAAAACAATATGTATACTAATTGTTTAATGACAAGCTAGTTTGTTCTGTAAACCTTCATCTAAAGTACAATGATAAAAAACAAATAAAAAAAAAAGGGAGAAAAAAATTCCCTAGTTTTAACATTTCAGTAAAAACAGTCTCATTCATGTTACTGTTGTGTGCTGTGGAGTCTATTCTGACCCCTAACGACCATATATGACAGAGCAGAAATGCCTTACAGGGTTTCCTAGGCTGTAATCTTTATGGGAGCAGATTGCCAGGTCTTTTCTCCTGTGGAGCCACTGATAGGTTCAAACCACTGATCTTTGGGTTTGCAACTGAGCGCTTAACCATTGTGCCACCAGGGCTATTTAATTTATAGTGTAAAATCAACTAAATCTCTTGATTCTGAATAAATTCAATTCTCTGCATACACACCTACTATAAAAGTTAATTTCCATGTTTTGTGATTTTTGTTTTTTGGCTTTTTTGTAAGGATAATTAGTGTGCTTGTAACAGAAGTATTGTAAAAAATTCAAAGGAAGCTGTATTGTAAATACTTTATTATTTAAAAAAATATATATGTATAAGTACCCATCCTTGTAAATCAAGTGTCATCTTAATAATCCCCTCATTTTCCCAGACAAAGTCAGTATCTCTCTCAGAAACCCAGAAAACCCCAAAGCCAGCCGTTTGGCCACAGTCTTACGTACTGCAATTTCTGTTAACCCTTTTATACCTAACACTCTTTTTCTGTGTTTTGCCAACCATGGGCCTTTGTTGTAGTCTTGGACTGGAGGCAGTAGCACATGAAGACAGCCACTGAAATATCTGGTCCTCACTGACTGTGTAGACATTTGTCATTGTCAGCTAGGATGTGTACTAGCAAACCAGCTAAGGTCCGATAAGGCTTGTGGGACACTGTGCCTGGGTTGGCTGTCCAGCCTCATGGCTTGCTTGTATAGGTACTGGGTAATTTCTCACTAGGGCCTACTTGGCCATCAAAACAGTGGTTTTTGACTGGCTAATACTGGCCAGGGTCATTTATTGAATGCTAGAATTAGAGCTAACACTCACACGAGGGAGAGTCAGACCCACAAGCTGGTTGCTGTAGTAAAGACAGCAAAATGGTGTCAGGAGACCCTCGGTTCCTCAGTTCTGTTTTTCTGTGTGGAACATGACCTATGTGATATTCAGCGTAACCCTGATACTTGGGATCATTCTTTGTCAGATTTATTTTAGAAATGTGTAAGAGTAAGTTTGAGAAGTTAACAGCCCAGTTGTCTGTATGGGACTTGTATGTAGATAGTAATCAGTTTTTACTTGATTGCTTTTATAGATATTTCCAAACATTACAGTCAAAAAGCTACAATAGAGCATGAACTTCCAACAGCAACACAGAAGCTAATAACAACTAATGACTGTATCCTGTCATCAGCAGTGGCGTTAACAAATGGAGCAGGAAAGGTAAATTTTCTCTGGTTTATGTTGATATTAAATTCATTTCTGAAATATGCTCCTTTATTTTTCTTGAATGACATGGGAGAATTGGTCTGTTACAAGATTTTGGTATATCAAGCTTTTTGGTAACATAAACTTGTCTCTTTATCTCCTCCCTACCCCATACTTGGAGCCCAGGTGGCACAGTGGTTAAGAGCTCAGCTGCTAACCAAAAGGTTGGCAGTTCGAATCCACCAGCTGCTGCTTGGAAACCCTATGGGGCAGTTCTACTCCGTCCTATATGGTCGCTATGAGTGGGAATGAACTCTATGGCAACAGGTTGGGGGCCCAATACTTAAAACAACATGGTGTAGTGACTGTTTAGCATTTGTAGTGAATGAGCAGATCACACGTAGTTTATGTTTTAATGTGATATTTGATGATGTGAAGATTCTAGATGGTCTCAATATAGATCCTTGTATGTATCAAGGGTCTGTTATATAGGCTTATAGAACATTATGCATGTATGTACAGAAAATTAGAAAGAAAAAAAAAATACCAGAACAACCTCCATTAAAATTTTGGGTTTTCTCCTCATGTTTTTTTTTTTTTTTTTTTGTGTGTGTGTGTGTGTGTGTGTGTGTGTTTGCTTAATTGATTTTTGACAACATTTGTGATAATGCCACTTCTGTTGTTTTTTATCTTAAGTACTTTTTAAAGTGATTTCAACAGGTATCTTTTCATTGAGCCCTTAATATTAGGTAAAAATCATTTGGATCATTAAGCATTTAATTATTATTATAAACTGACCAAAATACAGTTAAAAAAAAAAATCCTTCTATCTTGGATATTCTAGTTTCAGTAGAAGTCACATTTTCAGAGTGCATCTTCATGTGGCTGTTGGCAACACCTTTAACAATTGAGATTTCTCTGAGAACTACCCATAATGTACAAAAACCCGACAACTGTATTCAGGACTATTTTAAGCCCATATATTTCAGCAGACTCAAGGTAATTTCTCAAGGAAATGCTAATCTATTTGTCTCTATATGTCATTCTTTTTCTGACAGGTTGACCATAATAGGAACAATTTTTCCCCCCAAATGGTTGAAGTTAATCAGAAATGATCATAGATCGTGTTAGACATTCAGTCATCTTTCCCAGACTCAGCCCAGTCTGTGTTAACAGTTTGCAATAGCATGGAGCCATGATTAAAAGGTGTATATTGTCTTCAGGTTCTGTCAGCTCACAGATCTGTGCCTACAGGATTCTTGAGTTAGAAACCATCCCCACCTCCCTCTCTTTTACCTCTTTCATGTACAGGCAGACCAGAAGCTTTCTGAGGATGATCCTAACTTTTATTCAATTAAGAAGAATTCTGGAAAAAGAGACTCTTGGCATTTTACAGGAGTCTCTGCATTTGCTGCCTTTTATAAGAACTCTATAATATCAGATATGTGCGTATTTCATAGTTTATTTAGATTTGCTCTGCCTGAAACCTTAAGGAAAGGTAGCTCATCTTCACTTTGGAATTTTCATAAATGGTTTTTCACTAAAATAAGTATCTGAACTAAGGTTAATTAATCACAGCTTAATAACTTAACTAATGCAATTTGACTAGAGTTTATAATTTATAATTCCCAGTAGGAAGGTGTAGCATATGCATATTAAAGAAAATTTGGAAAATGTAGAAATATTAGAGGAAAGAAAATAAGCTTCACCATACTACCCTGACCGAAGTGTAAATACTGGGTATGTGATTACCCACGTCATTGACAAGGAACATAGAGCTCAGATTTTTTGGAATCCTCATTTTCCTGAAGACAACCTATGCAGTAAGGATCAGCATGATCCAGTCCCCAAACTGTGGATTGGATTGATCCAGTCCTCACATTCCACTTCTCCACCCTTGTCACCAGCCACACCGTGGTGCTCTCTCTCCCTCTGACCCTAGCCACCCAGAGCTTGGGCAGAGCTCACAAGTCAAAAGGATGCCTTCATTCAGACTGCCTAGTAGGCAGCCTAAAGTTTTGGGGAGTCCGCATGACACCCCAGCCTTCTGACCTGTTGACCACAAATTCAGGGCTGGTTCCCATTACCCCTTCAGGTTGCCAGCTGCAAGCTCAAGAGTCCACACAACACCCTTAACTTCTGACCTGCCGCCTCCAGCTGCCCCTTTGTGTTCGATAATTTCGCTGAGACACCTTGCAGAATTCAGGGGCCATATACCATGCTTGGAGCCCTGGTGGCACAGTGGTTAAGAGCTACAGCTGCTAACCAAAAGTTTGGCAGTTTGAATCCACCAGCCACTCCTTGGAAATCCTATGGGATAGTTCTACTCTGTCTTATGGGGTCACTATGAGTCAGAATCGACTCTACAGCAATGGGTTTGGTTTTTGGTTTTGTACCATACTTACAACTACAGATTTATTACAGCTATAAAAGGGTACAGATGAGGAGACACGTACGGCGGGATCTGGGAGGGTTCCCAACTTGGAGCTTCCATGTCATGGGACACACCACCCTCCTAAGCACAGATATTCTTGTCAACCAGGAAGCTCTCTGAGCCTTAGTGTTCCCGGCTTTTATCAGCCAGTCCTGCATGGTAGGCTAAATCATGCCTCCTGAGGCTAGCTGATACCAGCCTCCCAGGTGAGTCTTTTCTGGTCTGGCCAGAAAAGACTCACTAGTCAGCACAGATCCTTTCGTGTGGCCTGGAAGTCCCAGATCCAGGCACCCCAACCACTCCAAAGGTCATTTCTCTGGAGCCAAGGACCAAGACCACCTTACCTGGGGTAAAACTAGGTCCTTTCCGCACAGTACCTAACATAATTTCATTTGTCAAAGTAAAACACTAATGAAAAATACAACCTTTCTGACCATTAGTGATTTTTACGTACTTTTTGAGCAATTTTTGCCAAGATACAACACTGTTTCACAAGTCACTGTTTCTTATTTCTGAGAGTAGAACACTCTTTAATGTATCTAAAGCTTGCTTTTTTCCAAGAACCTTCTCAGACATTTTTTAATTCTCATCACCATTTTGTATAGCACTGCAGTTTCAAAATCATGGCTCAGCTGAATCGCAGTCACGGGTCTTTGTGGCTGTTACATAACTTCTAACAAATGTTACATGTGTGAATGACAAGGGTTTACTGAATTTCCAGTCTTTTTTAAATTATTATTGTGTTTGTAATTAACAAATCGAGATTTACAGAATAAATGAGTAGAGATTACCTGTTCAAGATGTTTGTATCATGTCTTCTGTTGGACATTTTGGATACTTCTGTATTCAAAGTTAAAATACAAACAATGTAGAAACCCGAACATAGATGGTGCTTAAAACAGTGGCAGAAGTTAGTGAGGTGAACAATTCATGAATGCCGCCTACGAAACAAATCAGAATCTGTGTTGGTCTTCAGGCAGACTAGAAGCTGTCTAGAGTAGGACATGTTAGAAGTCTGGTCTCAATATTTATACTAGTATCCTCTTTTTATTATACATCCTTGCCTAGGTATTCCCAAATCAATAAATGAGAGCTTCTGGGCAAGTGTGGAAATTCCATTTCCATTCTCAGCATCTTTCACTTTTCTCTGAAAGCTGTTAGATATATATTTAGATATGTTACCGGAACACCAAATCTATCTTCTTGTCATACTTCATTTAGATGGCAGCTTTCTTCAGCAACAACGTGGACTACTTCATTGCCTCACTGAGCTATGGGCCTAAGGCAGCGACTGGATTCATTAGTCCTCTTTCAGCTGAATGCATGCTGCAGTACAAGAAAAAAGCCGCTGCCTACATGAAGGCTTTGAAAAAGGTCTGTGAGCTGCTGTTAACATTTAAATCAGAGGAAAACCCAGAAATAATTCCAGAGAATGGCAACAGTTGTTCTACAGTTGATATTGTTTAGGTTTTACACAATTTGTGGGTACAGGTGGTTGGTGGGTGTTGGGGAGGGTCTGTGGCAGAGGCGTAGGGAAGGTATCACACCCAGGAGCAATCTCTAAGTTTGAGCCTCCTCCCCACCCCCACCCTGGCCTCATGGTGGGACGGGTGGGTTTCACCCGCCAACCGTACAGGGGTTGGTGATTCACTGGCTCACCTCATCTGGCACCCTGTTGGACTTATGCCTGGGACAAATGCCCCCCTCCAGCGCCCCCTTGCTATGCATCTGGTCTATGGGGAAGAGGAGGTGACGAGCCCTGAACCTCACCTGATCAGCAGCTTAGCCTGTAAGCGTCAGCCATGTTGGACTCACATCCCTAGTGCTGGGCAGAGGGCCCAGGGCAAGGCAGGCAGTAAATGTCAGACTTCAGAAAATCGTAAAAACAAAAACAATGGAAATGTGTTCATAATTGTTTCTGACTGTCATCAGCAGTGGCGTGAACAAATGGAGCAGGAAAGGTGATTTTTACATGTATATGTAAAAGATACGTAGTCGTCGTAAAAAGAAATTGGAAGATAGAAGTACATGAAGAAGAAAATTAACATCACTTCAAATCCTACCACCCAAAAGGCAACCACTGTTAGCTTTGTTGGAGTATATGTTTCAAAAAGAATTTTAATGCACACACATTTATATATGCTACAAAAAGCAAAATGTGTCTCTGTGCCTATTACTGTTTTAAAATCTGTTTTTTTTTTTTTCCTCTTAAGTATCGTGGATGTCTTTATATATCAGTTCATATAGATCGATAAAGTACTGTCACCATTAATGTGTTGATAATATTTTCTGTATACTATTTCATTCTATAAATATGCACTAATGTAATTAGCCAAACTCTTGCTGGTGGACATTTAGGTTGTTTCTCGTTTTTCGCTGTTATAAACAATGCTACTGTAGGTATTATTGTATATGCAACTTTGTGCATTTGTTTTTTGCTTTGTTCTCTTCATTTCTTTTTAATTTTTAATTACACCTGATACATAAACACATTCTTATATTAACTCAGAATATTACAGGTAAATTATAGTCTCGTATTACCGTTGCTCTCCAGAAGTAACCATAGTTATTATTAGTTTGGTGTGTAACCTTTTAGACTCTTTCTGAGCCTTTATATATACCTGTGTAAACCTATGGAACCCTGGTGGTGCAGTGACTAAGAGCTCGGCTGCTAACCAAAAGGTTGGCAGTTCCAGTCCACCAGCTGCTTCTTGGAAACCCTATGGCGCAGTTCTCCTCTGTCTTATAGGGTCACTATGAGTTGAAATTGACTTGACAGCAATGGGTTTGGTTTTTTTGGTTATATAAACCTATAGACAACATATAGTATATTTTTTTCACTTAAATGTATGTTTTATTGTGCAACTTGCTTTTTCACTTAAAGTATGTTTTAGAGATCTGTCAGTATCATTACATGTGGTGTTTACTATATTCCTTTCAAATATGGCATAGAATTCTGTAATATCAAAGTTCCGGGGTTCATTTAGGTGTTCCCTTACTGGTGGGCTTTTAGGTTCTTCTCATTTTTTTTTACTGTTAAAATAATACTGCAGTGGATAGCTCTGTTAATGACTCTTTGGGCACGTGTGTGGGTATTTCTCTAGAGTACCAAAAAAAAACCAAACCTCTTGCTGTTGAGTCGATTCTGACTCATAGCGACCCTATAGCACAGAGTAGAATTGCCCCATAGGGTTTCCAAGGAGTGGCTGGTGGATTCGAACTGCCAACGTTTTGATTAGCAGCCAGGCTCTTGACCACTATGCCACCAGGGTTCCTTCTCTAGAATGGATACTGAGAAGTGGAATGTTCAGGTCATGTGGCTTGCACATTTTAATTGTTGCTGTCAACAGTAGCCCTTCAGAGTGGCTACATTGTTTACACTCCTAGCAACATAAAAGGCTGCCTGTCTCCCTATATTCTGTCTAAAAATTTTTTTATTATATCTTTAAGATTAAATCACAGAAATGGAATTGCTGGTTCAAAGTCTGCAATATTTCAAATTTTGGCACATTTTGCCAAACTACACTTCACGAAGGTTACTTGCTTAAATTCACCAGAAATAGAAGTACAGATTTAACCAAGGGTATTACAATTTAAAAAGATATTTGTCAGTCTGAGAGATGAGAGGTTTCTTATTGTTTTAATTTGCATTTCTTTGCTTACTAGGCAGGTGGAACATCCTGCTTAAAGTTTATTGTTTGTATTTAGTCTGTCAACTCTCTGTTCAAATCTTTAACCTATTTTTAAATAAATGTCCTTAATTAGGATTGAAAGAGCTCTTTATATATTAAAAATTTTAATCCTGTATTCGTGTTGGAAGTATTTTTCCCCAGTTTGCTATATTCTTTCAAAATAGACGTTTTAATTTTTATATCATGTTTTTTTTCTTAATGATGGTGATTCTCAGCCAGGGGTACTTTTTAAGATTATAGAAATAGTCATCTGTATTTTCTTCCAATATTTTTGAGGTCAAAATTGTTTAATTTAAATCTTCATTTAAATTTATTCTGCTGTAAGGTGTGAAATAGGGATCCAAATAGTATTTTTCTAAACTGTTGGCCAGTTCTCCTTGCACCATTTATCCAATGCATCCTTCTCCATTGAATTAAAAATGCAACATTTGTCACATAATCAGTTTTATATGTACTTTTGTCTGTTTTGGAATTTTCTATTCTGTTCCTTCATCTGTCTATTTTTGTGCAAGTCCATATTGTTTTAGTTAGTATAGCTTATAGCTGGTACGATAAGTTCCCCTTTGTTTTTTTTCTTCCTCCAAAAAAAAAGGGGGGCCCTTTTTTGTATATATGAAAGGAAGTAGTCTGTGTTGGCATACATCTGAATTTATTGTCAAACCCCATTTAGCATTCTTATTAGGGGAGTGGTACACTGTTTTTCCTTTAATTCTTCTGGTGCTTTTTCCATAGCCCCTTTTAGAGTCTGTGCCTTATGAAGAAGCACTGGCAAACCGCCGAGTCCTTCTGAGTTCTACTGAAAGTCGAGAAGGCCTTGCACAGCAGGTATGGCACCTGGAAGATCATGGTAATTGTTAAAAAGTAGAAATGTTAAACCGCCTGAAGGAGGCTGTTAAGATATATAGACCTAAATTCAAGGCTACATAAGCAAGTATGCAGTTGGTGTTATAGTTGTCACTAACGTGATAGCAAGCCACTGTGGCCGTGATGATTAATTCTTTCTCTAGGAGATCGTCTTTAATGTCTGAAATATGAAGGCAGTAAGGAAGGGAGGGGCTAGATCCTCAGAGAGATGTTCATTTCCTAAATGAGCAGAAGTGAGCAGGTTGGGGGCGGGAGGTAAGTACTCTCTTTTTCCGAAGTTGCTGCATGTTGACACCAATGTAGCTTTTGTCAGAGGTTTATTTGTTTCAACACCTGGCTTGCTGTTAGGTTTGGAAGTGTTTATTTTAAAGACAGCGCAAATAAATTCACCTGAGATAATACTTTTGTCTTTGTAGACCTTATTTTCATTGGAAACATGTCACTTACCTATTTGACGTTAATGCCCTAGGATGTTGGACCTAGAAATTTAATCCATAAAATAATTTCTGAAAACAGCATTCCTGAGACAAACAATAAAATGTGGAATACTTTAGAGTATGATTTTGGGTATTCTTATTTTGTGTGAAGAAAGTCAGACTCTGAGAAATTGAGTAACTTTTACCCCAAGTGAAATAGCTAGCAAGTGGCAGAACCGTGTGACTTCAAAGCTAATGCTTGTCCCACTCTGCCGTTGGCCAGCCGTGTGCTAGTCAGATATGCTGTCTGGGCCTCATGTCCTTCCTCTCTCAAGTGTGAGGATAGTAATATCTACCTTTCAGAGTCTTGTAAGGATTAATAGATCCAGTGGGAGGCGGTGTGGTACAGTGAAAAGAACCAAGCTTGTGAGCCAACAGATGGGGTCCCAAATCCAGCTCTTCCATTTGCTAGCTTTGAAGGTGGTTGAACTGCTGGGAACCTCTTTGAGAAGTGAGAATTGTAGGACTGTTAGGAGGCTGCAGTGAGATAATATGAGGAAGGTACTATAAACAATGTCCACAGTAATTGTTTAATCATGATAGTTGTGGAAGCGTTTGAAATTTACTGTTTATTATTATTATTTATTATTTTATGTAATTCTCAAACTTTTATTTGCCCAGAGAATTTTTTTAACTTCTTATTGAAATGTATCATACTTACGGAAAATTACACAAATCATTAATGCACATCTCGATGGATTTTTACAAAGTGAACACACTAATGTAACTACCACCCAAATTAAAAAAAAAAAATTCCATTCCTTTGCGTAAGGTAAGGAGCCCTGGTGGCACTATGGTTAAGCGTTCGGCTGCTAATCAGCAGACTGAATCCACCAGCCACTCCTTGGAAACCCTATGGGGCAGTTCTGCTCTGCCCTGTAGGGTCGCTATGAGTCACAATCGACTCGACAGCAGTGGATTTTTTTTTTTGACTTTGGTTTTATGTCTAAGGTAAACCTTAAATAAAAAAAAAAAGAGTTACTAGGACGCCAGAAGCCTTTTTCCTGCCCCTTTCCAGCTACTAATCTTCTGTCCTCCAAATATAACCATTATCCTGAGTTCTAACACTGTAGATGAATTGTGTTACCTGCTACTGAAGTTCTTACTAAATGCAATTGTATAGTATATACTCTTTCAGTATATACCGTATATACTGGCTTCCTTTGTTCAACATTGTAATATCCATGTTATTATAGGTAGTTGTAATGTGTTCATTTTCATCTCTTTTTAGTATTCCGTTGTGCAAATATATGTAATTTATTTATCCATTCTTACAGCTGATGAGTGGTTGAGTAGTTTCAAGCTTTAATTTTGCTGTGAACATTATTATATGTGACTTTTGGTAAATACATGCATGCATTCGGTTGGGTATATACTTAGAAGTGGAATTGCTGGGTCATAGGATATGATACGTTCAACCTTCAAAGATCGTTCAAACAGTTTTTCAGTTTTGTCCCAAATTTCACTCTTCCCAGCCCTGTATATAGTTCGTTTGTTCCACAAATGTGCCCACCGTTAGTATTTTCTTTCTAAGTCATTCAGGTGGTTTTAAATTGCTTTCCCTTGATGAATAGTATTATTGAGCACCTTTTTTGTTTATAGTCTTGTTCCAAGGAACCCTGGTGGCATAGTGGTTAAGTGCTCAGCTGCTAACCGAAAGGTCAGCAGTTTGAACTCACCAGCTGCTCCGAAGGAGAAAGACCTGGAAATCTGCTTCCATAAAGATTACAGCCTAGGAAACCCTACGGAGCATTTCTCCTCTGTCTGATAGAGTCAGTATGAGTCGGAATTGACTCGACGGCACACAACAGCTACCACAACAGTCTTGTTCGTCTCTTTGTGTGTGTGTGTGTGTGTGTGTGTGTCTTTCTCTGTTGGGTTGTCCACCTTTTTCTGATGGGTTTGTAGGAACCCTTCATACGTTCTGAATGAGTCCTCTCTTGGATACATGCTTTGAAATCTCTTCTTCCATTTCGTGGCTTTCCGTTTCACTGTCTTGACACCTTTTGATGTGTAGAATTTTTTATTTTACTCTAGTTCAGTTTCTCAGTTTTATGATTATGCTGTTTGTACCCTGCTTAATAAATCTTTCCCTATTCCAGGGTCAAGCTTTATTGTTTTCACCTTTGTGAGGTAGTTTTGATTTACATTTTATAAAGTATTTCTTGACCACTTAGTTTTGTCTGCATCATCTTCTAAGGTACAAAACTCTATGTTACTTTTCAAGGTTCAGCAAAGTTTGGAGAAGATTTCTAAACTGGAGCAGGAAAAAGAACACTGGATGTTGGAAGCACAGTTAGCCAAAATCAAGCTGGAGAAAGAAAACCAGCGAATTGCAGATAAGCTGAAGAGCGCAGGGAGCGGGCAGCTGGTTGGGCTGGTTCTGGAAAACGCTGCCGTGTTGAGTGCTCCGGGCCAGGAAGAAGCCGCAGCCAAGACTGGGCCGGAGCCTGTTCAGAGCACCAGTCTGGTAGGTCTCTTCTCGGTGGCCCTCAGCTTTCTTTTTAAATGCTGATTGGTAAGGATGTAAGCTAGAGTTCAGTGTTAGCCATCTAAACTACATGTCGGTGTTTATAACAGGAGTGATCCATGTGCTTCACAAAGCAACTCCATTAAATTCCTGTGATTTTACAGGAGTCTTCCCCATGGTGGGACCCCTGGTGGTGCAGTGGTTAAGAGCTTGGCGGCTAACCAAAAGGTTGGCAGATCAAATCCACCAGCCACTCCTTGGAAACTCTTTGGGGCAGTTCTTCTCTGTCCTGTAGGGTCGCTATAAGTTGGAATCGACTCGACAGCAGTGGGTTTTGGTTTTGGTCCCCACGGTGAGGACTGTGTTCTAGGAAAGATACAGTAAGTCAAATTTAAGATAATTCTGTTTTTCCACAGAAACATTTATAATACAAGCTTATGTTTCTGATCAAGAGCCAAATGCCTAACTTTTTATACAAATGACCACCATATAATTTGTAACTGATTATATGGTGTATTACTAGACTGTATAAAGCTTTATAACATATATATAATATAGAAACCCATCAGGTTAATTGTATTTCATAAGGCAGTATCTGGCAAGTTATCTTGTAACTTTGTTTCTTGCCTTATTATTTTTTTATTGTACTTTAGATAAAGGTTTACAGAGCACAGCTTCTCATTAAGCAGTTAGTACACATATTGTTTTGTGGCATCAGTGACCAACCCCATGGCATGTCAACACTTGTCCTTTCTCGACCTTGGGTTCCCTATTACCAGCTCCTGTCCCCTCCTGCCTTCTAGTCCTTGCCCCTGGGCTGGTGTGACCCGTTAGTCTCATTTTGTTTAATGGGTCTGTCTGATCTTTGGCTGGAGGGTGAACCTCAGGAGTGACTTCATTACTGAGCTAAAAGGGTGTCTGGGGGCTAAACCGTCAGGATTTCCCCGTTTTTTTTGAGGTCGGTAAGTCTCGTCTTTTTATGTCTCTTGCATTATTTTTAACTGCAGTGATTTAGAGGATGAAGAGACATCTGTTGTAGAGTTAGAGAATTCAAAGTCGCTTTTTAAAAGGTCTTCTAATTACAATATCCTGGCCATTGTAAATAAATAGATTAGGAAATCCAGAAAAGGAGAACTCAGGAGGGAAAAAACCCTCATAGTCGGAAGGGTATTTTTACAGGCCTTTTGGAGGAACTTGGGGAGAGCTGTGGAGCTTCTGACAGATCCTGCTTCCAAGGAGTGTGCTTTTCTGCTGACTTTATCCAGGTAGCTCATTGAAGAGCAAGTCATGGTTCTCAGGTTTACCTTGCACCTGATTCACAGCATACTTGAGAGTAAAATTTACAAGCCAGCTTTTATTTTTAAGATACATATGCAAACATAGCAATGATTGTGAGGATGGCACAGGACAGAGCAGTGTTCCTTTTGTTCTGTTGTATGTAGGGTCGCTGTGAGTCAGAACTGACTGGACCGCACTTAACAACAACAGCGTACCTCACTGCATCTTAACAGCGTCAGAAACTCAGAATTAGTGTTAATTTTTTAGGTACAGTAATGATATTATGATTATACAGGAAAATAGCTCTGTTTTTTGAAGCTAAATGCTAAAGTACTTAGGGTGACGTGTCATAATGTCAGCTTATTTTCAGATCGCTCAGAAAATATTTTCATAGATAAGTAAAGCAGACATAGCAAAATGTTAACAGTTATTGAATCTAAAAGGTCGAAAGTTGGAATCTAACAGCCACTCTTTGGAAACCCTGTGGGACAGTTCTACTCTGTCCTGTAGGGTCGCTATGAGCCAGAATTGACTCGACAGCACAGAACAACAAGATGGTGGATATACAAATGTTCATTGGTACTTTTTCCCCAACTTTTCTGTATATTTGAAAATTTTTATAATGTAGGTGAGGAAAAAAAGAATTAAAAATTTTAGAAAAGCAAAACACAAGCAAAAAAACCAGACTTCTCAGAGCTTTGACTTGGAGGATCACCATGCCGACAGACTGATCCTATAGTGTTCTCCAAATTACAAGTGTGTGTCCCAACCAAAAGTCCTGCACGTTGCCTCATGATAGGGGAAGACGCCCGCTTTCACCCCCCACATCAGAGGTTTAACATTTAGCCACAGTTTATAAATGAAGTAATGAGAGGGATATTCAACAAACAACAGAATTTCGGTATCTGTCCAAGGGCCATTTGGGAAATGTAACGCTGCCACCACTCACTCAACTATGGAATTTGCTTCAGAGCCTGTTTTCAGACAGAAAAAAGTCTGTCTCATTGATGGGGTCACAGACTGTTCTCCCCTGGGTTTGATCTCTTCTTTCTCCCCTCGTCTCTCCCTGGTTCCGTGCATCTGTTGGTTGCCCTCTTCTTTTACTTGCACTGACAGTAGAGTTGATGCTGACCAGGGAGTAACTACAAGACCAGGCTAGACCAGGGAGGGCACAGAGGACGATAATAGTGATTGCAGTCATCCTGTGCTAGACACAGTTCTGAAGACTTTTCATATATTAACTCAGTCAAACCTTTCATAGATCCTAGGAGATTGTAGGTACCATCATAGCTTCATTTTGTAGATGAGGAAACTGATGGACAGAGAGGTGGAACAATTCCCCAGGAGTTACACACTTGATAAGTGACGGAACTAGGATTCAAACCCAGATGTCTGGATCCAGAGCCTGCCCTCTAACCACCAAGGCCTTGTGCTCTGAACAGTATCAGAAAACAGATCAGCTGACAAAAACTCATTTGTTTATTGCTTGTCTTCTAGAAGTGCTGAAAGTTGGTAACACTGGGTGTATTTGAGTCATTAATGTCAGTTGCTGAAAGTTAAAGATTGTCTTTTTATTTGACATTTTCTATGGAAAGCACTACTGTTACATATGTAAGTAAGTGAGAAAGATTTCTAGGGCCATGTTCATTCCAGAAAACCTTCAGTACTGAGCACTAGTGGGCCATGAGTGATGGTGATCTCAAAAGATTGGCAGTTTGAATCTACCAGCCAGCCGCTCCTTGGAAACCCATAGGGCAGTTCTACTCCGTCCTGTAGGGTCACTGTGAGTCGGAATTGACCCTACAGCAACGGGTTTGGTTTTTTTGTTGTTGGGTTTCACCGCTGTTCTCACTCTGAGCGCGCTGTCTGGTTATCGTGTGTACATAGCCTTGGTTCTCCTGTTCTGTCTGTCTGTCTGCATCGCACTTAAGGGTCACTTTCCTTCCATCCACCTCACACAGTGCTGTCAGGGTGATTTTTTTTAGGGTATAGTACTGATTATGCAGACTCTTGCTTCTAGACTTTTAGTGGCTTCCTGTTAACTACAGAATATAATCCATTTGTTTATTTGACATTCAGAGCCCTTGGATTCCTCATTCCAAACTACCCTGCTAGCCTTTCTTTTACCAGTTCCGTGTACAAACCCAGACCAAACTCTTTTTCCCTAGTAATGTTCTTTGCATTTTTACCTCCCTGCCTTGTTCATAAGGAGCCCTGATGGCACAGTGGTTAAAGTGATCGACTGCTAACCAAGAGGTCAGTGGTTCGAAACCACAAGCAGCTCCGCGGGAGAAGGATGTGGCAGTCTGCCTCCGTAGAGATTTACAGCCTTGGAAACCCTATGTGGTCGCTATGAGTCGGAATCAACTCGACGGCAGTGGGCTTGGGGTCCTTGCTCGTGTTGTTTCTTTTGCCTGGATATCTGTTTTTCCATAAGCTCCTAAATAGTCACATACTTTCTCTTCCCAACTTCTCCTTCCTTCTCTTTGACTTTCTTGAATTCAAAACCCTACCCATCATTTAAGTTACAGCTGAGATCCACATTTTCTGTGAACCACCATTGCAGGCATTGCCTTTGATGGCCTGGCTTACAGAACCAAGACAGTCGGCCTCCTTTCATTGTTCGCAGTTTGGTGTGTGTAGAGGAATAGGTTACCCCCCCTTAGTTGCTTGCAGTCTGATGGAATAAGAGCCTTGCTAGACGTCTGTATAGAGTGCTGTAGGATCACAGAGAGGGTGACTGGAGGGGCCGGGGGGATGTCACAGAAGAGGTGATACATGTCTGAGTTTTAAAAATGAGCAAGAGTCCAAGGCAGGAGAAGAGTATTTCAGGTCGAGAGAAGCGTCTTACCATGCACATCTCCTTCCCTTCTGCACATGGCACAGTCCTGCGAAAAATGACCCAAAGTTCTCTAACCTACTGCCTCGCACATAGTAGACAATAGCGATAAAAAGAGAGAGAGTTTTCTGCCTTCCTTGATGTTTCTTCGTTTCAGCCTTCAGTCAACTGTGTGTAGCTGTACATATGGGGGTGTGAGCGTCCTTTGTGTCTTCTTCCCTTGGTGTTGGTAGCAAGCCTGTGCCCATTTCAGCGTTAACAGATTCATAAAGGAGTCTCACAAGTCACCAGGAGATTACTTTGGCTGAAGCTCATTGAGGCTGAAAAAGTAACTGGAGAGAGAAAATTATTTCATTTCTAACCCTGTAACAGTTCAAAGGTTCAGTGCTTATTATTTTTTGTTAAAATACCTAGTACTATAATTTGAACATCATCTACCTATTCTTTATTGTAATAAAAGATAGCAGTACCTTCAGAAAGAAAAAGCCCAGGCAATACAAATTTCCATTTTTTCACTGGAATTAAAAAGCATTGCTTGAGGTTAACATAATTTTATATCTATTTTAAATAAAAAAATAATTCATATAATTTAAAGGTGATTTAAAAATATAGGTTAAGTAAGAAGGAAAAAAAAATAAAAAAGATCATATTTTCCTGGATACCCAAGCTTCAACTATTAGTCTTTCTTTTCTACAAAATGTTTTACATGGTTGAGATTGAGATCGTACTTTCAAAATTTCAAATATTTTAGCATAATGTTAATACACAAGTATTGATCCTGTTCTTAGGAACTCAGTAGAAACTTATTGATTCCATAATAGTCCTTATGGATATACCTTAGCTTACCTGTAATTGAACATCGATTATAATTTTTACTATTTTAAATAACATCTCATTTTTATGCATAAGATTCTTTCTGCTTTTTAGATGATTTCCTTGGGATACCTTCTCAGGTTGAAACTATTGGATCAAAAGGCATAAGTATTTTTGAGTTCCTTGATCTTTATTGCCATATTAGGGCTATATCAGCCTATATTTTCATTAGCAGCATATGAGAAAATAATGGAATTATATATGTTGAAACTTCTCCTTCCATTTATGTAACACCATTCCTTTAGGAGCTGTGTGCTGTACCACACTCTCAAACCATAACCTGGGGGTGAGGGGTTGTGGGGGAAGGTGGAATGGATGCATCCTTGCCTCCTGGATATTTGGATTTGCCAAATCCAGTCACATGTGCATATATAAAATTGAGTGGTGTGTTACTGTAAGCAGGTCTTAACTGGAGGTGAAAGAGGAATTGCTACTCCTGCTTCAGTGAGTAGAAAATGATGGCTGTTCTATCTAAAAAGTATAAAAGACCTTTTACAGCTAGATGGGCATAGCGTTCATTAGCACACTCAAGTGGTATACTGCTCACTGTTCAGAGTAGTACTCTTGAGGGTAGTATTTGGAATCTGTGAAAACTGTTTATTGCTGTCATCTCTGATGAACAGAATCCATCGAAACTGTGTTTATAGTAGTTTTCCTTGAGTCTGTGCCCAAGCACATGCCTTTCCACCTTGAGCAATAACCTGAATCCAGTAATTATGGCTGTTTTTAAAATCTTAATCTACAAAAGCAAGCCTTAAAAATGTTGGCAGTACCTTAATATATTTAAAGTTACATTTTCATTTTCATCAGTTTAAATCTGAAATTAATACTTAGGAATGTCATAATAATATACATATATCAAAAGTGTCTGTCTTCTTTCTCCTTTTGAGCTCTCATCCAAAATACTGTTATTCATGTTTTCTGTTCGGAGTATTTAGTTGTTATGATCACCATAATACTGTCTTTACCCCTTCTTGGCTACTGCTTAGGATACAGGCGTGGACATAACCACACGGAGTCAAGAGCTGATGTCTCTCTCTTTTCCCTGGTGATTTGTGGGTAACCCAGCCAGTGAATATAGCTAATCGGCATTCTGATAGAGTATCTAGTGATGATCATTATTCATTTCTGCCTCACGGCGGAGACAGTGAATGCCGTTACCTACCCCAGGGTATAACATCCTTGTAGTTAGAATCCAGTCCCGATGCTCCTTAGAACTTAGTGTGAACTGAGAAGAGACGGGGTTACAGGTGTAATATTTTGTAGTTAATACTCCTTGAACAATTGTATTTGAAATGTAGATAGCCAGTTCTAAAGCTGTTTTCCTCTTATGTTGTAGATCGGAGTTTTAACCAGGATGTCGGACAGTGAGGTAATGTATGTCGCCGTCGCGTTGTTGGTTAGTAAACACTTGGCAGCATGTTTGTTGACAGAGGTCTGCGAGAGTCATCCCTGCCTGGTTGTGTTTCCTGAAATTTCTGACAAGTGTAGATCCAGCGTTTTCCCCGTTATCCACGGAACCTTGTTGCTTTTCTTTCTGGCTCTATTTTAACTGTCACCCACAAATTATAACCCTGTTTTTGTGATTGCCTTGGTGAATGACTTGACTTGGCAATTGGATGAGGCGTGGCGCGAGCTTGGCTGCCGGCTTGCTGGTGTGCTGTGGGAGGCTGAGGGCCATGTCAGTCCTCCCCCGGGCCTGCGGCCTCAGTCTAGCAGACAGGCTGGGAAAGCAGGCCTTTTAAGGGCCTTAATGAGCAGTGTGCTCTGTAGCTCTTTCCAGCCCCCCAGTAAGTCAGTCCAGGTCAGATTTGGCTTGTCAGATAGGTTTGCATGTCTTAATTTGGAAATATTAAGTGTAATTTTATAAATAACCCATTAAAAGAACACTGAGGTCATTCAGCTTACCCTACTCAGCATGGTGGGCGAGCTGGTAAATTTAGTTCAGGGAGGTTGGTAAATTCTTTGATTTCCTTATTGGCCTTATAATTTAGGTAAGCTTGAACTTCTGCATATATTTTTAAATTAAACTCAATAGTGTGTCATTGCTAGAGTAACTGGTAGAAATAGCAGTCTGGAAAAAGGGCAATGAACATTTCAGTATAGAAATAGCTGAATTTGTTCATTTGTTTAAGAACATTAGACTGTCTTAAGATAATTTGGGGGAAAGAAAAAAAAAGAATGTTCAGGTCTTAGGAGTTTCAGTAAATATCCCCTTCTTCCAATTAGAGGTAGACATACAAGTCAGACAGATGGAGATTTTAAGTCAGGTTTATGGCTGAGAAAAGCTGGAGGAAGGGACAACGTCCCAGCGGGCTTCTCAGTACTTCCCTTGTGCTCTGTTCTCCAAAGCCACGACTTCACTCTGAAATACTGCATGGAAGAAATTAGGATGTACATTTACCTGCCCTGTCTGGAGTTGTTCAAGGGGTAGGAAAACTAGAATTGTCTCTCATGTTCTTATGTCAGATGACAAATGAAAATGTACAAAATGTCTTTTATTTTTCTAAAGTGATGGTTAATCTTTATTTCTAGAACTGCTTCAGCTGACATTTATTCATGTTTGTGTGCTCGCTTTAGGTTCTGGATGTGGACTCTCGTGAAGACTTAATTAAAAATCACTACATGGCCAGGATAGCAGAGCTTACGTCGCAGCTGCAGCTGGCCGACAGTAAGTCGGTGCATTTCTATGCTGAGGTGAGCGGAGGGTTCATCAGGTTGGGTAGTTTCTTCCTGACCCCTTAGCAATTAGGTCACTGCCCTGCCTTCCTGCTGTTCACTAGGAGACAGGCCAGTGTCCACATGTTCACATTCATTTGGTTGGAGTTCATATCGATCGGTCTGTATACCAGCCAAAAATCTTCATTTTAGTTAATACAGGACTGATTCATCATTTCCAAGTGACTGAAAAATAGTTGGGAGACGGATGGGTACCTTTCCTGTGGTCACATGTGTTTGGAGCATTATTATTACAGAGTACTTGTTTTAGAGAGTTGTGGGCAGTTTAGAATTATAGACATTCACAGATCCAGGCATTTTCAGGGGACTCATAATAGGCCTGTATCTAGTTATTTATTTATTTTTTAATGTTTTCCAATTTCCAAATGACAAATGTTTGGAAATATAAATTCCTGTCAATGGCAAAGTGAAAAATGTAAGCTTTGTCAACCTTTAAAAGATAGGCAGTCTTACTTCTTGTTACATTCTCATCTTCCCTCACCAAATAATTCCTTTTCTTAAGAGAATTAGAAAAACACTATGCAAGATAAACCAAAACAAAAACCCACTGCCATCGTGTCAATTCTGACTCATAGCGACCCTACAGAACAGAGTAGAGTTTCCAAGGAGCCTGGTGGATTCAAACTGCTGACCTTTTGGTTAGCAGCTGTAGCACTTAACCACCGTGCCACCAGGGTTTCCAGACATGCAAGATAATCACCAAAAATTAAAAGGTGGGGGGAGGAGGAGGATAAAGGAAGAAAGTTACAGATACCAAAGAGTAAGAAAGAAATGATAAGACAAAATATAGATGCTGCTCCACATACAAGAATGTCTTTAAGGTATCTGCTTTGAAACTATATTAAAAGGTCAGTAGTTATGGATGGCAGACAGAGAATTATAATGTGAAAATTGTTAAATTAAAAAGGAAAGACGGCACCCCGTATTGGCCCTCGTCTGTACTTTTCCCCTGTACTGCAGAGATGGAGAGGTTGATAGCTGGTCAGTTGCTGGAAGTGGTGAAGGACTTTGCTGGTCTTCTCTCTTCCTGCCAAAATACACGCTGTGCCTATCTCAGTGCTGCTTGCAAAGCAGCCACTGCATCCATACTTGATAAACTGATTAGTAGTGGCAGAGCTCGTTGGGCTGCAGGAAGGGAGGATAGCAGACTGGATGCTTTGCAGCGGAACTGCTGGGGCATCGGTCACCTAGCCACATGGTGCAGCAGACATTTGTGCCCTTGTTCTTTCCTGCCTGCTTTCTGAGTTAGTGTCCCAGGCTTGATTGCTGATTGTCTTCATGCGGACTGTGCCCTGCATGTCTCCCTCCCTCTGCCAGGATCAGTGCTGAGCACACGGTGGATGCTTGCTTCGTAGGGCTGGTCGATTTGGTTGGCCAGACTGTCCTGAAATTCTCTTGTGAGGAATGAAGTGAGTACTAGAGAGTTTTTGAGGCTCTTTTATGTCCAAGAGATTTGTTTATCTTAGCAAGTATTTTCAGCACAATTGTGATACAGGAATTTTTAAATTGTCCAAGTTTTTCCTTATCTGTAAACAGGAAGTGGTGACCCCCTGGACAACTTTGCTGGAAGGGTCAGTGTGAGCATGTGATGTTGACAGAGCATTTACATGTGTCTCTGCAGATCCTCCTCATCAGACTCAGTGGCCTTAGCAGAAAGTCCAGTGAGTCTTCTAATCGCACATCCTCTTTGAATAATAGCATGAAATGGAAGCTCCTTTTTTCCTCCTTGATGGTCTACCCTGTTTCTGGTTAGTCTGGGTTTGGCAGACTCCCCAAAGAAAGCAGCTGGGATCTTTACAGCCCTGCGCTCATTTTTTTTCCATGCAGATAGAGCATAATCTAGAGGGTAGGATCATAAAGCTTTTATTCTCCTATAATGTGGTCTCTAACAAGGGACTTGAAACACAAGAGAAGTATGGTCCTAGGGTCCATATTACATGGTCAGAAGCCATCGGTAACTTCTGAAGGAGCCACTTCCCTTCTCATCCAGTGTGAATCCTGGGGAATAGTAGAAACTTCTTGTGTTCTTTGTAACCACTGGTCACCGAGGGAGAGCTAGCAGAAAATCACTGATAAGTGTGGGTTATTAGGTTTTCTTTCTTATTAAAATGATGAGGGTGGGGACCACATCTTCTGTGTGGTACAATGCCTGCAGGTATTCAGTGGGTTTGTGGAACAAATGAATGAATGGCTTTTGGCTCTTAGGATTGTTTTCCAATAATCTTCCATTAAGTAAAGTTGGTTTTGGAAGATGCTTCCTGGGTGATGGAACGTTTTCTGATTTCACAGTGCCGTGCACTCTCTAAAAGGCTGGCCTTGGCTGAAAAATCTAAAGAGGCATTGACAGAAGAGATGAAGCTGGCCGGTCAGAACATCAGCAGACTTCAGGTGAGTCCTTGAGTGTCACCTAAGCAACTTCAGTGTATTTTTTCATTGAAAAGACTTGGCCAGCAAGGCCGGCATTTCCTTTCCAAAGCAGTGGCACTCAGATTCTGGACATACTTTCTTCTAACCTCTTTATTTCTGACTCATTGTAAAGTAACATCTTACTTATATCAGGCAAAAAGTGGTTGCAGTGTTTGTTTCTCTAATGTGATTTTAATTTTTAAATAGCTTTTTAGTCAGCGTTTCCTTAAATAATACTTGTTTACCTCTAATCCTTCCTTTCCCTCCTCTGCCCTGTAACCACCTGTCATGGTGCACTGTAGGATTGTTTTGCACACATTACTGTCTTCTTTTGTTTCGTGTTTCATAAAACTGACCTAAACTGAAAGGTGGTTGTTGTTAGTTGCTGTCAAGTCGATTCCCATTCATGGTGACCCCCTGTGTGCAGAGTAGAACTGCTCCATAGGGTTTTCAGGGCTGTGATCATTTGGAAGCAGATCGCCAGGCCTGTCTTCTGAGGTGCTTCAGGGGTGGATTTGAACCACCAACCTTTCAGTGTATAGTCGAGCACTTAACCATTTAAGCTACCCAGGGAATATTCCTTCTTACTCACTGCTTTGTTTTTAAAACATTGCCTCCAGAAAGCCGCTGTTAAATATAAACACGATACTGGGTGTTATGGATTGAATTATGTCCCCCTGAAATATATGTTCTACTCACTGCTTTGTTTTTAAAACATTGCCTCCAGAAAGCTGCTGTTAAATATAAACATGATACTGGGTGTTATGGATTGAATTATGTCCCCCTGAAATATATGTTCTAAATCCTAACCTCTATGCCCGTGGTTATAATCCCATTTGGGAATGGGTTGTTTTTGTTATGTTAATGAGGCAGGATTAGTGTAGGGTGTGTCTTGAGTCAATCTTTTGAGATATAAAAGAGATTAAACAAAACTAGGAAGAGGAGATAGAAGAGAGATGCTAAGCCACGTGAAGATCACCCAGGAGCAGAAACTCAGAAGAGACAAAGCCCTTCCTCTACAGCCAACAGAGAAAGCTTTCCCCTAGAGCCAGCACCCTGAATTCAGACTTCTAGCCTCCTAAACTATGATAAAATAGATTTCCGTTTGTTAAAGCCATCCACTTTCTGTTACAGCAGCACTAGATAACTAAGACACTGGGCAAAGAAAAAACACATTAGCACTTCCTCCTTGTTTCACGTTAGTTTACAGAATTAGCTAGGAGTACAGGACTAGATTTTAGGGGGCTGAAGAGAGCGGGAAAGATGGGAAGAGAGGTGAAGGCATGCTTATTCCCAGAGAGGGTGCTGCTGTGCAGGCGAGCCACTGAGGTGTGGAAGGTAGGATTATCCAGAGGCAGACTTCCTCACCTCGCCTGCGGCTCAGGAAAACCGAGGGGATCTGGAAAGATCATTTAACCCTCTCGTTTTTTTGTGACAGTTTTATATATTGACAGTTTTATATATGGCATAGAAGGAAACCCTTATATTTTTGCAAAGAAATCCAGAACATATTTTGAAGGCTAAGAAACCCTTTCCCTTTTCTTTAACTTTGTTCTCTCATTGGGCCTGTGCCTTCACCTTCACGTCAGTTGATCAGATAGGTCACCTTGATGGGCTTTTCCAGATTTTTTTGACAAATCAAAAAAGTTTTAGAATGGTATGGATGGTGGAGTTTTGACTTTTCTTTCTGTTTTTCTCCCTCTTTCCCTTTGCTGTTTAGGATGAGCTGACAACCACCAAGAGGAGCTATGAGGACCAGTTAAGTATGATGAGTGACCACCTGTGCAGCATGAACGAGACCCTGTCTAAGCAGAGAGAAGAGATAGATACGCTGAAGATGGCCAGCAAGGTACGAGAGGCGAGGCGGGGCGAGGTAGTCTCCGGGAACGTAATATTTACTATGGCCCTAGGTCTTGCATTTCAGGAGCAAATGGTTAAGAGATTTAAAGTGTTTATAAATGATTTTCCTTCATCTCATTTGTCGTCTTATCTCAAGTAAAATTAAGTTATAAGCTGAGAAGGTCTGACCTTGAAGGCCCCAAGATTGTGTCTGCTGCTTCTGGGCCGTTTCCACATCTCTCCTGCTGCTGTATTAGAGTTAGGGGGCCTCCCAAGGGGGCTTAGGATGGGAACTGCTCTTGATCTATATGAGAGTCTTCAAATGGTGCTGTTGAAGAGTAATCTTCTTGAGCAAATTTATACTCATAAATATCCATATAATGGAGGCATTTCTTACCCTCCTAATTCCAGAAGTTTCCTCTGATTTGTTTCCCATAAAGCCTCAGCTTGTCCAGGCTGGGATCCGTAGATATTGGGCAGTATTTTTATGTTGAAATGAATATCCACATACATTTCTCTATTGTTGTAACATAACGTATGTAGTCTTCTGCCGTGAAAGGTAGGTTCAGGGGCCAGGGACACGTTCTGTGCATCATCTCAGATGCTGAGCACATTTTGGTAACTCAGATGATGTATACACCATCAGCTGGGATTTACTGTCTCCAGCCTGAGTACTTGGGGATCTGCTGCTTCCGCTTACTGATTCAGCAGGCGTGTATTGAGTTCCTGCCACATGCTGGCACTTGGGAGGAAATAGAAATGAGTACACCGTAGCTTTATTTTAGCAACTGCTGGTGGTGGTGCGGGGCAGTATACTGCACAGTCAGATCTCCTTGAAGAGTAAGTCTTGTTCCTGCATTGGAATCTGCTCTCTGCAGTTTTGTTTCTTAGAGTAGTTTCATGATATGGATTGGCCCCTAGCTGCTTTGAAAGGTGTCTCTGATGCTTTGCTAGGACACCTCTTATGTTTGTAGCCAGCTGATATGGTTCTGATTATGGTTCTCTAGTTACTTGTGCTTTGGGAAACTTGAGCTTGAGGAATGCCTTTTTTAAACACTTTTGGCCTCTTGATATTCCAGCAGGGCAATTGCTAACTCACAGGTTATCTTTCTAGTAATGGGAGGAAGCACATGTATTGAAAAGGTCAGGTTTTGGTTTTTCTTGTGGTATATATAATTTATTTTAGTGGTTGTGTGCGAAAGCCTTTTTTAACATCTAACATTGGAAAGAAGTAGCAATGATTCTAGGGAAACTTTTCAGTCTCCATACTAGCAAAAGGCATTTCGTTTTGAATTGAGAAAGGTTAATGTTGAGTAGGAGCCCTGGTGGTGCACTGGTTAAAGCACTTGGCTGCTAACCAAAAAGTTGGCGGTTTAAACCCACCAGCCGCTCCATGGGAGAAAGATGTGGCAGTCCGTTTATGTAAAGCTTACAGCTTTGGAAACCCTTTGGGGCAGTTCTCTCTGCCCTAGAGAGTCGCTCTGAGTTGGAATCGCCTTGACGGCAGTGGATTTGGTTTTTGGTTTTAATGTTGAGTACAGCAAAGTTCATTGTCCCGAAGGTAATTGGATTACAGCTACTTCAGAAGTTAGGAAATTTTCAGGCCCCTTCAGAGCTTTTTAATCTAGTCCTCAGAACACCTGTCATTAATAAAACTGAGTCAGGGACCCAACGTTTGTCATTAACCTTTCTGTGATCATTCTGAGGTCCCTGTATTTTGCTTCTCTTCTGCCCCTTGTTTATTCATAGTTTAGATCGTACAGTACCACGCTACGGCTGAGTCGTCACTGTCGCCATTGGAAACCACGTCAGCATCCTCAGCCATGTTTGCCATTATCTTGCTCTTCCATGTTTCACAAGTGTTTCCCACTCGCATGAAGAAAATGTATTCGTACCTAATAGTTAAATGGAGAAATTTAATTAGAATGTTTTCCTCAGAAGTGAACTTCTAGAAAGAAGAAAAGTTACGCAAAACTGGAAAGCCCAAATCTGCATATGTGAGGGAATTGGGAGTAAGTTGACATCACCCTTTGATGCGTTCTCAGCAGGATCTAAGCTGATTTTTGACAGATAATCAGCGCCATTTGGGTATTTGTTGGCACATCTTCAAAATTAGTACCTATTAAGACCTTTAAGAGGTGTTTATTTAAACAACAAAGAAACATGTTTGGACTAAAATTTTCTATTCAGCCTTAGGAAGTCTTAAGATCCCTTGTTTTTGGAACAAAATGAATGTTTGAGGATTTGATCAGTGTAAGACAGTGGCTTTCTTTTCTTTCTTTATCGCCTACCAGGGGGATAGGATCTGTGGAAGTAGGGCGTGGGGAGAGTTAAAAGCAACAAACTGCTCTGTGGTTATTGAATAAAAGTCAGCCATGCAAGTTTAGCAAGCTCTTCTCCCTCTTGGAAGCTAAACTTTCCAAAGTGAAATATGATTTCTAGACAGACAGTTTGGTTTATACATGATGAGAATTGTTTTTCTGGAAGTTTATGTTCTTATTGTTGGCATTTTTCTTTGCACAGGGAAATTCTAAAAAGAACAAGAGCCGGTAGTTTACAAATGGCTGGTTGGCGACTGTTCTTTCCAGAGCTGCTGCCGCCGCCGCCCACAGCTTCGGGACCGAGACTCCACGTCCACGCAGGGCTCCGCCGCCGGGAAGCTGAAGTGTGGCTGGACCGAGTGCGCTAGTCAGTGTTGTACGTGGCTTTGAAACACTTTAAATATATTTGTATCTCGTGAGGCAAATATAGGATTTGATGTTGACAGTAAAGTGGAAAACAGTACACATACCATGGATATTATAGGTTTCCTTAAGCTGTTTTTACTGTCCACTTTTTAAAATTAGGTTTTAATTTCAGTATGTAAGAACAACAAATATTTTGTATATTTTCAAAACTCAATTATATGGTAATTGATTTGGTATGTATGGAATTGATATATGTTTCTGGATAAAGGGTTACATTGTCAAATTGTCATTACCTCTTGCTGTAATTGAAAGCAGTCTCCAGATTCCTTTTGAAGACTTCTCATTTTCTCTCTCTCTCTGTCTCAGAGGGGAGAGAGTGGGTCTTGCCAGTTTCAGATCTTGTGGGTTTATTATCATTGTCTTTGGCTTTTTGTTCACTCTGTGTTAGAATACTAGCTTAAGGAAATTGATATCAATAAATTCATACTTATATCAAACTTTCAGTCTCTCTATGAAAATTTGATAAAGGAAACTGAAACCCATTAAAGTCGGATTTACAAAATTTACAAGAATCAAAAGTCCCAGTTGACTTAGACGTAATCTTTGTAATTCCCCAAATTGGAACAGTTGGACAGTCAATCCTTTATTAAGGCTCTCGAGTTTTGCCTTGAGAGCTACTTGTAACCACTCTTCAAGCAAGGACCCTGGGTCCTGTCAGCCTTCCCTTGGTATATCTCAGATGCTTTGTACCTCAGGGGTCTCTCCCCCAGCACCTCCACTCCCAAGGCCCTAAATATATTGCTCCTTTCTTCTGAGTGGCTTGCACAGGCCCATTTCACCTGCAAGGTCAGCCGAGGTGTTCTTGAAACCGCTTCCTCCCCCTCCCTGCCTGCAGCTCCGTCTGGCTTGAGCTTTTCCTCAAGGCACTTGCCAGTCACCCTCTAAAACACTTTCTTCTCGTTCCCTGAGAGCGCTCACTCACTGGATCTCTGCTCAACACAAGCGCCAACTCCTGGGCCTCTGCCCAAAGCCCTCAGCTGTCAGTGTAGAGAGGCTCTGGTTACCCAGAGTCCTCACAGCAGAGAAAGGTTTGGATCCTGCCGTGGGGATCTCTGGGTTGGTCAGATTAGCCCCACTGTTCCCAGCCCTTCAAGTCCCCAGCCCCCTTGTCCTTTCTGTTTTCTATTCCCTGCCCATTTCCAGTTCTCTGTCACCTGAACCAGCTGCTTTCGCTGCACGCAAATAGCCATGTCAAATAGCCATGCTGCCTGGCTTCGTCATACGCCTAGGATTTCTAGCCCCGCAGGCCCTCGGTGTTCCTGACAGCCCTACTGGTATTTCCAATCCATTTCTGTTCGTTTCAATACTGGCTACACGGCTTCTCTCCTCCAGCCCTGCACGCCTCACTCAGGATCTATGCATCGAAGTCAGAGCCTGTCATGGTGAGTACTCCTCGACCAGCACACTTGCATGCACATTCACCTGTCCTTACTGCTGTCCTGCTTCAGGGAAGTGGGGGCCCTGCTACCCATAAAGCTAACCTGCTTTCCGATGCTTAATGCCACTCCTTTCCTAGGGCTTGACTCTTTGTATCTTCGGTTTCTCATTCTGCTGACTCCTTTCCCCCAGTTTACAAACAGATTGAACTTATCCCTAACTTTTATAAAATCTTCCTTTGGCCCTAGTTTAGAGTACAGACTTTGAAGCCATACTCCCTGGGTTTGAATCCTTATCCTCACAAATGAGCTACTTAGCATTTCTGCACGTCGGTGTCCTTCTCTGTAAAATGAGAGTAATAACAGCACCTACCGTGTAGGATTTTTGTGAAGATTAAATGAACTGATGTTGGGAATTGCCTAGAAGAAGTTGGAGTGGGGTGAGCGGGGCGAGAGCACCAGGAGATGAGGCTGGAGAGGTAACTGTGGGCCAGATAACAGTGTCGTGTAGGTCTGTGGTAGAGTCTGGCTTCTCCTTTCTGAGTGTTAATGGGAAGCCTGTGGAGGGCTGGGGACAGAAGACTGACTTCATCTGACTTACATTTTAAGAGAATCATTGGCTGCTGTGCTGAGAATAGATTGTAGGGAAGCAAGGGTGGAAGCGGAGAGATCGGTTAGGAGACTACCACGGTAGTCCAGGAGAGAGATGATTGTGGCCGGGGCCGTGGTGGTGCCAGTGGAAGTTGTGCAGAGTTGGCTTCTGGGTTTATTCTGAAGATAAGAGCTGATCAGGTTTGCTGACAGACTGAAAATTGCAGCTCTTTTCCCCTACTCTCCATTCCTCTTCCCCGCTGTATTTTTACTCCTTAGTACTTATTATCATCTAACATGCTATTGTTGTTGTTGTTAGGTGCCATCGAGTCGGTTCCGACTCATAGCGACCCCGTGTACAACAGAACGAAACACTGCCCGGTCCTGTGCCAGCCTCACAGTCATTGCTGTGTTTGAGCCCACTGTTGCAGCCACTGTGTCTGTCCATCTCATTGAGGGTCGTCTTCTTTGTCACCGACCCTCTACCAAGCATGATGTCCTTCTCCAGAGACTGGTCCCTCCTGATAACATGTCCAAAGTACATGAAACTAATCTCACCATCGTTGCTTCTAAGGAGCACTCTGGCTGTACTTCTTCCAAGACATACATTTCAGTGGTTACCTTGCATTATTGGATCTTCCTACCTTTGTAACATCTCTCAATCCCACCCTTTCCTTACTTGATACCTTAAATTGATCCTTCACGACCTATTTTCTGGACCACTCATCTTCCTCTACTTCAGGCCTCCTACCCCTTCAGCAGACCATCTTTCTAAAACATACCTCTGAGTAGCCATTTTCCTGATTGAAAGCCTTCAAGATGGCCCCCGATGGTGTCGTTTCATGAACATGTTGCAGGCTTTCGCACCTCTGCGCCTTGGTTCCTGCTGTTCTCTCTGGCAGTAATGCTCTTCCCTACCTTCTCCACCTACCTCTAGATTCCTACCCGTCCCCCCGAGCAGCTGAGAACTGCCCTCTGTGAGGAGGCCTTCACCAATGCCTTCCCTGGCTGCACTGATGTCTCTGTAGCATTCTGCAGACCTCCATTCCAGCACCTCTTGCTCTTGTCGGCGCCACCAGAGCTTCCAGACCAGCCACCCCTACTGCCCTGCCTGATGTCTGGCCCCACAGATGCTCAGGCAGTGTTGGGGACTGTTGGTCGCTCTGTAGGGTGTCAGTACATCCTTCGAGGTTCCTAGGGCTGAGGGATAGGGCAGGACTTTAGAGGGTACAGTTGAGTCCATGGCAAAAGGGTGCCTTTCTGAATTAACTGCAAAGATTCCTGCTCTCTTTGTGGGGTCACTTCCCAAGGCATATAATAACCACCAGTTATTAGCCACTTACCATAAGTCAGGCGTGGTTAAGATTTGACGTATTATTTCATTTAATCTTCCCAACAACCGTTGTCTCATAGATAATATTACTATGCCCACTTTACAGATAAAGCTGAGTTTTATATTTGAGCTTTAGAGGGGCTGAGCAGCTTGTCCATGGCCGCACAGCTAGTACATCGTAGAGCCAGGATTCACATGCAGACTCGTCTGATGCCAGAGCCTGGATTGTTCCCTACTGCGGTCTAGGCTCTTTTAACCTGGGGGCTTTCAGCACTGCTCCTGCAGGTGCTGTATGTTTGGAGAATGAAGTTAAACCTTTCAGTAGCTGAAGTACTCACCTCGTACTCCTTTCAGTTAG